TTGTGGGCGAAATATTGGTCAACTGTCAACGATAACCTGAAGGGCCAACAACGCCGGCGAAACGAGCAGCTAAAGAAATCAACGAGTAGAATGCACTGATGGAGTTTTTAGTTTAATTAATTGACACTGAACGTGTTAAAATATCCTTTCCATTTCTTCATAAGAAAATGTTCTTACAAAATTAAGTTGAAGTTTACAAAAGAAATTAATCAGGTCGAATAAACAAGAATTGATATTTAGCATATTTTTCACTGAGAGAGCTCAGAGTCTTTACAGCGCTTGCTTTATTCGGTAAGAGTGTAATTATCGCCGTCCCCGGGTACAAGAGAAATTTTGTTATCGTAATACTGTCAGTTGCTACTTTATAGCTGTTTAGAAAATAAGAAATTTTCAGCCTTTTAAGTGATACTTAAACTGGGCGACGTGGCCTTCTTAAAATAGCTTGGGGCTCTCAAGATCCAGATGAGAAGAAATAACCCAAATATACAATGCAAAGCAGGGCTTAGCAACTACTTAAAAACGTTAACTCCGTAAAAAAAAAAGAAAAGAAAACTTCGGTAATAGATGATAAATTGGCTAGAATCAATCAAATACACTAGGTACTGTAAAGAAAGAAAGAAAATAAAAATAAAAACGCGAATGGAAACCCCAAGAAAAGAGGAATTATCAGCCGTGCATCCCAAAATATAATGACTACACAGATCGCGAAAATTCGACAAGTTTGTACCGCTCTTACTAACATCAACATATCAGTTTAATAATGTATCAATCAGCAAATCAAAAAAAATCCTTTTTAATCCCACTGCACCTAATATCTCTTTTCTCAAAGCATGAAAACCGCTATAAATCGTTTTTAAATGGCTTAAAGTCTGTTCTTGCTGATTATTTGCTGGATACTCTCCCACATCTACTAACTAGCCATTGTACAAAGTGTCTCAGAGATTGACGGCACATTTTATTTCCCAAGAATATGGGCCATACTGCATATATTGCAATTTAGGCACAGTGGAGATTGTGTGTGCACTAAATTCCGTCGCAGTTTTGAGTTGTGCGAATGGAATTCCCCCCATTACGGTTTGGTCATATATTATCAGCCATAGTAGCCGAGTATTCCATTAGTAGTTCTATTATCAGGTTTAATATTCTAACAGGATTTGGCAAAGCTAAAGGGCTTATTAGATATCCTTGGTCGTATTTTTAGGGGTACGTTCATAATTACCGAATTGAAAGGAAAATAATCTATCTCGATCGTTTTCGGACGCGTTTGCAAGATAATATCTAAATTTCAGTGTTCATGCAGTTTATTAGAGTGATTTTACTTAACCCGTGAAATACGTAGTAGAATAAAACGCGAAATTATGCACTAATTCTATTGTCTTCTTTTGTTAATTTGCAGCTATTTTGCACTACTTGTTATTAACTTTTTCAAGGTTCAAGTAAAATCATTCTATGTCATAAATGCACTGAATATTAGCTATAAAAGTATCAATATAAACATTGTCCGGTTTTCACATGAGAATTATTTTTATTTATTTAGTATTCTTTAAATTCACACCATCGATCGAGTGCCCTCTGATGGCAATATTAAAATAAGCTATGCCTGATTTATAGTCTTTGCTTAAAAGCCTCTTTTCACAGTTATTCGTTTTCATCTTTTTTTACAGCCACTAAGACCATTCTTTGCCACTTTATTTCAATTATATTTTAATATTGATTCACTACGACGGGATATTCTTGGAAGCAAGGACTTTGTAAGAAGATTAAAATCTGGGACGGTCACTTGGAAAAAGCTGTCACACATTACGAAAGTAGAGGAAAAACAAAGAAAAGACAATACACAGCCTTTCATTAACCTTTCTCTGACCTCAGAATGAAACAAAAACTTTGAGAGAGGTAATAAAATTAATAACGTCTGCATTGCAAGGGAAACTCTCTTTGTAAAACTCATACATTGTATCGCTGCTCAGCGCGACATTTCCCCGTAAGATGGAATTAGGGAGTGTCCTCTCCCTACCTGGAGCATAAAAATGAGTGTATGTGATTAAGATACTCAAGAACCACCAGGCTTTCTTTTGAGGTGTCTCGTGGGCCACTTTCAAACCATGGACTTACATATTTTGCGCCGTGCGCCTTTTCAACACTAAAGAGAAAAAATTAAACCTTGTTTATACACTACACAAACAATAATTCCGGTTTTTCCAGGGCCCCCTTACTAGATCTCGATCAGGTCAGGGTCCGAGTGAAGTTTGAAGTTTTTAAACCTGTTAAAAGAAGTTGATAGGTACTCCTCTTTGATGGCCTCAGTTTTTAATAGATCAGAGGACAATTTGCGAAATTTTCGGCTGTTAAGTGCTAAAAAGATTAGTGGCAAAGTGCTCGGGCGATACAGGCAGCCAGGTACGTGTACTTTCGGTGCAAACAAATATGATGATAAAGCAACGTTCCGACAATAATCCGTTTTGATTTACGCTCTTGGGGGTAAAGTATTTCTAGAATAGAATCTCGCAAATATTTATTGCCTTCTAACAGATATTTAATATGTATTTTCTGGAAGCTGTTTTGATTAGTCATAAGTAAGGTCGATCAAAGACACTGTAGTTCGGAAAGATCATCTGCGCAATAATACCTTCCTTCAATTCTTCCTTCCTTTCCATCTGTTTGATTGCAAACTATTATCATTTGACCTTGTTAATGTATTTCCACAACAACAAAAAAAAAAGCATGGGATCGTCTCCATATTTTTTATCTCATATTTTCTAGGCTTTAAACCTCGTTCACCTCTCTTATCTAATGAAAAACGTTCCTTGGGTACGTTTTACCGCCCTGCTGTGAACAATTTATGACACCACACCCCAGAATTCCAAAGATACCTCATTGTGAACTAGTTACGTTTACGAGTAACCTATCTTTATTGTTATCTTTAACCATAGTAAGCTTCTGAGCTACTGTGATTTTACTGTTAAATTATATTTCCAGGTGAGCTTCGACGATATGCACAAATGCAAAGGCACAGCACTGAACTGAACTAACCTTAAGCCTGTCTAGACCAGTCAATAAATCAATTAATTCCATTTTAAGAAAGATAACGTTTTTATTTAAATGGGTGTGTAGATCAGGAAATTCAAATCCTGATAAGCTTTATGTTGCGCACTTTCTTGTTTTTAAAATATTGACACATTGTAATCAAAACAAAATGATTGAGTGCTACCCTACAACACCCAAAGGATAAATAGCGTAAGAATTTTTTTGCGTGCGAGTATGTTTACCAGATATTTCCTTTCACTATCAGGCATCTGGTGCGATGAGTATCGAAAAATTGTTAAGCAGCAAAAATGAATTTGCTTTAAAGAAGCAAGAATAATGTACGAAATAGCAGCGTAAAAGATGCCGTAATCCACCTTAAAACCATTACAGTTCTTCCTAAATCCTTTAAGACTCTCAATAGGGGAGTTTAAGTTACAAATCTCTTTTGTTGTTTTAATGGAACAGTACCAGGTGTTTGATACGATGCGCAGAAGCTTTTCTTAGGAGGCAAAACCGGTTCACTTACGTCAATGGTGCTATTTTTAACTAAAGATACCGGAAAACAAGAGACCATTCAAGCCGTGTTAGAGCCCGTACTATCCCTATTTTAAATTGTGACTGCAGTGGGATCGTGGACACCAATGAACTGTCAACTGTCGAATCCAAGGTGTGGCATAGGCAACGAAAGCCGATAGAGCACCCTCAAGCAAGCGGCTTGACGTGGGTTACTCTCTCCAAAACTGAAAGCTTGCCATCTTATTAAATGAAATTAGTTTTTACTTGCAACCTTTTTTTAATTTTCCCCTCGCAGGTCACCAAGAATAGAATTACTTTCTCCTTTTCATAGATTTCAAACCGCAAGAAAACACTGATCATGATTACAAACGCCACAAGAATTTTTACAGTGTTGATAGCCGAAGGAAATGGCAGCGAGGCCATCTTCATTAGCTTCCTTTTGTGGTTTTTCATCTGATGAATTAAGTTATGGTCGTGCGTTTCTGCACTGATTCACAAAGTAACAAATCGTCTTTTATATAGTTAAATTTTTTATTGCCTCTCCGACAAGTAAGCACAGCCTTGATATGTTATTCCTTTCCCTCGATTTTCTCTTTTTCTTTCTAACTGGTTCATGGAGGCTCTTCAGTAATCAAGGAACTTTACGTAGGCGGCAAAGCTCTTTTTTTTTACCCGGATACCTCAGTATTTCTCAGCTTAAATATGTGAAAACCCATTACATGTGTAATTAGTTCGAAGGGCAGAAACATTGCTAGGTAAAAGAGTTAAACCGGAAAGGTTTATGGAATAGTGGGAACAAGGGAAAATGTCCTTATTCAGAGAGGCCCTATAGGAATATGTTGAAAGGTTTCAGTGATTCCTCATTCCTGAATCTCTTTTAAAGTCCAAGGGTACAACTGATACAACCGATAAATAGTCTACCATCACCGCGCCCTGTCTGACCGTTTTTGTGAAATTAAAGCTTCCAGTTCAGAGACAACGAACTGATCCGCCGCAACCAGTGAGTTCCACGCTCTGGGCATGTATATCAGGGATAGGCAGGCAACGCGTGCACAATTACCACTATAGAGAGGATACGAAAGCGAACCAGTTCCTATCCCTAAATTAAATTAAATGTACTAGGAAAAATGTAGGCGAGTCAGCCTCTAGAAAACCTTCATAGCCTGCTGCTAACAATCACTATCGAAAAAGGATTTATTTAAGCTTCGCTTGAGCACAACCGTTGGTGAGAGTTTCAATATCAATATATTTCACTAACGTAAAATTTCGTACAAATGATCACGGAAATCTATTTCGATTTATAATAGCTGTCTAAATTGGAAACTTCTCTGTTAGAAAAAAGTATTTTCCCTTTTTTTTCTATATAACTTGTAGTGAAATTGCATTGGTTTTTACGGTTTCCTTGAATTTCATCTAGGAGTCTTAACTAGTTTCTCCACCCCAACGATCCCTAGTGAATCGCGGTGCTGAAAGCTTGTACCCCTCTAGTTTATAGAGTGTGTAATTTTTTAATTAACGCCATCGAACAGAATCGTTGGCGAAAAAAAATGTCCATTTTTTTTGTAACAGGCGAGTTTTTCTCTGGGGGCTGTAGAAAACCACCTAAAAGCAACCCATGCTTCAGTGATAAACACGAAAGTTAATAAAGATCTCTGTGTAGTTTGTGCCATTTCTCAATGTGCCTGCTTGGAGATTCGATCATCGATTTCCACTGTTCCTGTCCAGATCCAAATGAATCAAACCCAAGAATTACTGTTCCAAGACTTCCTCCTCCAATGTTGATCTCTGTGTGATTAACAATTTTGAGCACAACGGTAGTGAGGGAAATTAGGTCAGCGGAAACATTAAAGTTGAATTTCTCGTTGTACACGGGATTGAGGCTCCTCCGCTTGACGCGCGTGTTCGCTTTAGACATGCGCGCACCGTCACAGTACAGAGCAAGCTTGACGTACGGGTCTAGGGATAAAATAAAACAAAAATAAGAGAATGCAGGAGCCGATTACTTGGAGAATGTTTTTAATAGTTTAAAGGAAACTATTACCCTGGAGCGTGAATCCCTTATAACCCTTGAAATGCAGCGTGTTAATTTTCAGGCAGTATTCATAGATCCATCTTTCACAAAAAGAATCTTTCGGCCAAACAGAGCAAAGTAGGATTTTCACCAGCGGCGGATAAGATCACTGAAATGTCTAGCGAAATTAATTGGGTTTAAAAAAAATCAAAATGGACAGCTGTGAGCCTCTATCTAGACAACAGACTACCATACTAAGTGTGAAGCGTCCGAAGCCCATTGACCCTCTGGGGTGTAAGGCTTAAACAGATAATTGTAGCAAAACACATGTGGTGAGAATGATCATTCTCTCTTGTAGAAATATAACCAGGGAGATAAGGCAACCTCATCTACAGGCTTTTTCCCTCCCCTCCCATTTTTTTAAGGGAAAAGCCCTGGACCTACTTCGGACCAGGGGACGAGGTTCATGAGGGGGGCATAGATGACTATACAATATCTAGTTGGCAACATTATTTGTTCCTTAGTTGCAAGACAACACGTGGAAAAAAAACGTGGAATTAGATGCAATGTTGCTGCCAGCGTTTATTTACCTGTCCGGTCGACTGTTGCCTTTGGCAATCCACGAATTTTTGTGATAGTTATAATAAGGCGACCGCTGATTGGACGAAAACACAAAGATACACAAAGTTCACCCAAGTCTCCAGCTTCCGTCTGCAAAAATAAAAGGATAACGAAACCGTCTGGGGATTTAAAACTTTCATATCAACAATGCACATGGACTAGATTAGGGTTTTTACTCTTAAAACATTTCCCCTTTAGACTGTCAAGAAATACCTGCAAATTACTCTGTGCATTTTGATTAGCCCTACGTAACCCTAATCTGTGTCGTAGACGAATGAAGAAAATAGGGCCAGAGAAAGAGTAGGCACCTGCTACTTATTTAACCCCTGTACAATTTTAGTTGTTAACATTATTTAGCTGTCAAAATGACCAAGAAGCAGACATGTAAAATATAAAAATACGGTGGATCTCATTATACGGCTACGAAACCACTACCGTCAGACCATGAGAATTTGGTGGCATTAAAGAGGTGAAGTCTCATAAGGCCTTATTAGCCATTCCGATTAACTTTTCTGAGTGAAATGTTCCATCTACTGGATGCAGAAACCTGGCAGTTTCTAGCTGGGCAGGAACAGGGCCAAAATTACACCAAAATTGGGGAGGGATGAAGTCAGAGATGAAGGAATTGTAATCACTAAAATAGCACAAGCTGTATTGGTATTAGGGCCATCCCTCCCAGTACCACTGTTGATCTTCGACCCTCCCTACTCCTGCCCCACCTGACATCAAAGTCTACACGTGTCTTGATCCCAGGCCTCCCTTCTATAACCTATTTTGATCCCAGACTCCCCAAACGTTTGGGTCTACCCTTTTTCCAGAGCTTTCTGAATTTTATAGAAAGCTTATGCTGCATTGGGACACCACATCGCCTGAACCTCCCAGTTCCGTTAATAGCGCTAGCCCCTTACCCCTAAAGGAATTGGAGGATTGAGGTTCAACCACTTGGTTATCGAAAAGGAAGGACTGTTCTCGATCAACTTCAGCTCTGATAAGGGGAACAGAATCTCTCCAATGACATCATCACCATAACGCTCTTTGAACGTGTCGTGAAAATTGACAATTCTGAACTTCAGTTCGTACTCCTTGATTCTGTCCTTTGAAAAACCCGAAATAACAAACGTTTCGTTAAATACAGGATCCGGAGTCCCCTCGATGACCTTTGTTCGCTGCCAACAGAACTGCTGAGGAAGCAATGATAATTTCACCATGGGATTGATACCCTCTTTATTGTCTGTAATTGGAAGGTTGGTTGCTTTGATGATATTCACTTGTAGTTCATTTTTTAAGACGTTATAATGAAGTGCAAAGCGGATTCTTCCCCGGCAACCTTCTGTATCACTAGGTGATGGTGGTTTATTCTCTGATATTAAGCCAAACTCTTTGAGATCTATCTCTTTTGAGCTGTCATGCCCTCGTTTTTCTGGAGTATCCTGTTTGTTTTCTTTCTTTCTTTTTGCGGGGCTATTCTCTTCACCAGAAATGCCAGAATCTTTCTCGTTTTTTACTCCATTCTCTTCTCCTTCTACTTCATCTTCCGATTTATCCAAATTATCCTCAAGTGACGCATGCGTACTTGAGTCGGTTTCGTCAACATCCGGGGAGTCAATTGTTGATTTCTCACGTGACCTGTTCTCAGTATCATCTTCGGATATGGAACTATCATCATAGTTGGTCTTGACATCGCCATTTATTGCCTCACTGGTAAAATTACATAATCTGTGGTAGTAATATCTCGCTTGAGCAGGGCCAGAAAAACCTCGATTTTTCGTTTCTTGAACATTCAAGGAAACGGTTTTTGGAAACGAGGAGTCAACAAGCCTTTCTCCCAACACTACTTGGATTTTTTGCGCTTCTTTTTGAGCGTCTGTTTTTGACTTTTCCTTCGTCATTCGTTTGTAAGCGCTGACACCGAGAACTATAAATCCATAACCGATAGCAAAGCCCAGAAGAACAGGGAAAATAAGAATTCCCAGCAGGCATAGTATTCCTGTGTTATTGGATGCAAAGCGGGTTACATAACTGGATGATTGTGGCTTACTTCGGGGATCAAAATCTGAAATAAACAGATAAACACATTGTGAGTGTTAAGTATTTGCAGAGGAGATTTTGTTCGGTGGAATAAGAAAATAAAGTTGGTTTTGTTTTACCATGTTTATGCTTTAAGAGAGAGTGAAACAAATCAACTGTCATTGGCTCATAATCGTTTTTCCTGCGCGTAGCCTCAGCTTCGATTTTACTGTAAATTCATGGCCGTTAACGAGTTACATGAAACCCAAAGCGAGGATGAATTACGTCTCAGACTCACCATGGACTGGCACTAGTCAATGACAACAATTCGTTGCACTTTAAAATTGTAAGGTTTCCTGCCTGAGCTGATTTTTCTTTTAGTTTCATTCTTTTGATACCAAGAGACTGAAGTTGCACATTTAGCAAGGGGTGGGAATCGTTAAGCTCCGTGCACACAGACGCAACAGTGTTGGAATTTTTCGCTTCAGTTTGAACTGGTTTCAGACTTTGCACAACAACTCCCAACAACAAGCAACAACAAGCAACAGGGTGAGCCAGCAAACGGACGCAACATGTAACATCCAACAATGTTGGAAGTTGTTGGCCAACAAAGTTGCGCCCATTGGCACGGGGCTTTTCAAACAATAGAAGTCTTGGTCAATCACGAGACGATGTAGTTGAGATTCTTTTTCTAGTGTTTTATTTTGGGTTTACCATTAGCTTTCTCCTTAAACTTTGATTTTTGGAAAATGTGCTTGAGAATCATAAGTAATAAAGCACCACGTCTTAATCTTTTTGAGCCATGCATGGTTTAAAAGTGTCACTGAACTGACTCTCAAACGTATTAAGACCACCTGAGAGTGTACTAAGGAAATCACTAAATGTAGCGATAAGAGAACAACAACGACAACAACAAAAAAAATGAGTAAGAAGAATCAAGGTTAAAAATATCGGCAAAGACTCCTTAAAAAGCTTATCTTGTGGAATTAACCCTTAACAGGATTACACCTGAGCAATGTTACATCTGAATACGATAAAAAAGCAGTATACACAAGCCGAAGATTATTTAGTGGTACCTTAATCTACCAGAACTTTCATTTCTGTCTTATTGGCGGCCGGTGTATTAATTAAAAATCGGCGAATTTGCTTAAATTAGGTATTGGCAGTTTTTCAAGATGAGCAAAAGGTCATTTAGATTTGACAAACAAAATATATATTCTATATTTACATCCTGGCTCTTGCGATTTTGATATCCGCTGTTTATCGTTAAATTCAGCACGTCTCTTGAATACATTTAGAATTTTTAGACTTAATTTGTCGAACATTGATTTTAGCAAAATAGCCCTACATTTATCATCCCTTTCTGAACTGTAAAAGAAAAATTATCCTCTATTTTCCTTTAGTAAATCATTAAGCGAATTTCATATCTTTCCCGCTGTCGGGTCTTCGACAAAATTTTAATCGGCAGAGAACTTCGAAATCAAAGTTTTATTACCGCAGAAAAATGAACAGTAGCGATTGCAATGGATTATATAGAAGCGGTTAATTGATATAAAGACTAAATTTCTTACCACGCTTCCTTCGATTATTGTTTTCTCCTACAAAGGGCTTGTAAAGTTGCTGTGCCTTTGGCAAAGTTGGTGCCATTAAAGCTCTTCGAGCATACACTAAACTATAATCCCAGATTTAACGCGAATCTTAACTTCAAGACAATGACAACCAGCTTCAAAGTCTTCCCTCAACTTTCCAGTAATGAACAACGTTGTTAAAACCAGACTTAGACTTCATACTACAGGTTGAAATTGATCAGAATCCGTGATAATTTTTCGAAATTGCCTTCCTGTGATTTTGAATATTTCACCATATATTTGCATTTGAATAGTTTGACGTGTCTGTTTATTTTTTAACTCAACTAAAATATTTTATTGCACTAATTTATACAGGTGGAATTTGCAAACGGAGACTTTAAAAAGAATTTAATAACAAACTGAATGAATAATATATGCCCTCCTCTGAGTAACAAGAAATAACAGTGTTGTTTCTATTTAAGCCTGACAAGATTATTCAGTTGCTGATTCAGGTTCTAGTTCACTCGGTTCTCTATAAATGGTCGTTGACCATTAGGACTCTTGAAAATGGTGTTTTAGGCTTAACACCTTAACGGAAGATATCATTGCATTGGCTGGAAGGCCGTTCGATTAAGGTCTTTTCTCACGATTAATGCTAATGAACCGTTGTTTCTGCACTATTGCCTTCAAACGCAGTTGCATGGTTTCCAACTGTTTTCATGGTTTTAGGGATCGGGTGCAGTTTTATACGCTAATAAATGCATTCCATGCATGTAAACTTTGCATAATTGCGAGTGCGGCTGGGCTATTGGGACTTATTTACTGCCTTGCAACCAAAGCCATATATAATGATCACAAGCCATAGACGCTCACAATGATCATACTAAAACCTCAAGGGAATACAGGTTGTCTCTTCCATGGAAACAAAGGTATAATACGGGAGCGGATCCACACCGGTTTCCAAAGTTCTATTTTCCGAAATAGATATACCCATTAATGAATGAAAAACTTTCCAAGTTTCAAGGCTTCACTCAAGGTGAATGGAACTGACCAATATCCTGTTTGAATGACTCGGAAACCCTGGAAAGTGGACTTTACAGAGTAAGAATCTAAAAAATTTACCGGGGGTGCATGTCCCCCACCCCCCCTAGAAGCTTGCGCCTTCGGCTCTCGTTTAGGAAATCGGTCAGTATTTATCCTAGATCCGCGTCCAAAAGGCATCTTTCCAGTTGCCTGTGAGCTATAAAGTACGAAGTATTTGAGTGACATAAATAATGCAAAAACGCATGTTTTCAGAAAATGTTCTGCACAGTGGCCTAGTAAGTCGACTGTTTACCTTGCGTTAGTCGTTTTTTTTTTTTTTAGGATAAGTGCTTTATTATCAACAGAGCGCCTACAGACACATGTGTTTACAACGATAACAAAGATTTTCGTGCAATAATTACAGAGGTGTACATTTGTAAAATTTATACAACTTTTAAACAAGGTTATATTTAACGCGTCTATCTCTTTCGCGGAAGCGATCATATTCGTATTTGGCCACAATTTTTTGCGTTTTCTCTCCTTGCTTCATACTTATCAACGTTGCAAAGGCAGAGCTTGGAGTCATAGAGTCAAGAATAAGATTAGTTTCCTTTTTTAGCGTATTGAACAGCTCTCTCCTAGGATCCCTATGGGCTATGCAATTCATCAAAAAATGCTCCTCGTCTTCTATTCCAGTTTTACATAATGGACAGATTCGTTTGCAGACTTTGGGTAGTTCACTTGCACAGCAATGAAAGATTGCGAGTTTTCAACTCACGACAAGGCTGCCATGTTGATTGATTAAATTTCTTTCCGCTGGGAACTTAACTGTCAAAATTTTTATGGAAATTCTACGGGAAAAATTTGTATTGTCTTGTCAACCAATATGGCCGTCTTGTCACGTGGTTGAAGACCAAGCAAAGGCCGGGCCCTTTCCAACTTGCCCCAAGCCTCTGTTTTAAAGCGAGGCCAAGCGAGGCTAAGTACAAAGCCATTTATATAGAAATGATTTTCTATGTTTTCATGCAAATATCACTCATTTTCACAAGAAAGGTTTTGCACTTCGGAAAGTCGGAAATGGCCGATTCTATCATTTGTCCTATTAGCGCTTCGGCTGTAATGACGTTAGCGCATCATCATTGTTTTCTATAGTTTGGCATGTGTGATTAAAAGGCTAATAAAGAAAGCTTCCCATTAATTGCCAACTGTAGAACAACTGGCACATCTACTTGCGTCCTCATTTTCCGAGGAAGCCGCCGTCACCTACATACACTTTTGTCAGTGGTAGAGTAAGGAACTGTGCTAACAAAACATAGAGACCCAAAAGTCCACAGCCTCTTAATAACTGGTTGATCGAAAACGTCAGCTGAAAAAGTATGTAGAGAATCACGTTCTGCACCAATAAAAAAACGAAACTAGACTCAAACGGTTGAGCGCATTTTCACCTGAATTTCGAAACATGTTTAGTTAAGCAAAGTTGAGTTAAACAACTCCATAAATTAAGTTGTCAAAAAGGTTCTGTTCATCAATTTTCACTGGCGTATCCAGACCTTCAGATGGGGAGGGGGGGGGGGGGGGGGGGGGGGGGAGGGGCGTCAGTTTCCGGCCTCAGTTTGGTTTAAAAATAAGTGGTCTGGGCCCCTTCCCTGGACCCGCCATTGATTTTCCACACAATTCAGTTACTCCAAACATTAAGAGAAATTGGCTACATTTTTTTTAACCCTTACAAACCTTTCAACCCTGCCAGTAGCCATCAACTGGGATTACTGTAATGCAGGTTTTACCGGGCCCCGGGAACTGTTTCTATTCATATAGAGAGTCAGTTTAATTTTAAGGATGTTGATTATCAGTCAAGAAAGCAGATTACCAGACATCCATCGTCCACAATAAATATATACTTAAAACCACTGCGATAACTCGACAGTTCGCCGCTGAATGGTTGCTTCTCAAGCTTTCATATGATCTCTACTGTAAATTCATTAGGGGACTAAACGGATCTGTTACGTTGGAAGCCAACTTTTAATCTTTGATCTCTAACCCTTGCTTTACTCTTTCCTAGATCTCTTTCGTATTTCACCCTTCAATGCTTCTTTGCAAACGTGCGTAAAGTTAAAGCATCGGATCACTGGCTCAAGACACTGGCCGTAGGCCGCACAGGAAGTTTTCCGACACTAAACCAAAAAAAAAAACTAGTCTCTAAACCCAAATAAACTTGCACATACAGAAAGCCTATCAGATTGAAGACTAATTGCCAAAAATAACATGCATGTCCTCAAGGACGACTTCAGCTAATGCGGGTTGTCCTAATTTCTCTTCTCGGCCGTAATCAAAGTTGCTAAGGTGGATCTGTCATCATCTAGCGAATTCAAATTAAAGCAAGTGTGTACACGTGACTAGGATCAATCCAACAAAGAACACGGGGTATAAAAAGCAAACAAAAGAGAAAGAGGAGATCACTTATCGGGCTTAAATTCCGTTTTATATTATGACTTCAAATCAGCTATGAATTCGGGAAGAAAATTTTTCATGCCCCATTGTTATGAGCCGAGAACAATTTGAAACACAGCAACTGAAATAACTCTATTTGAAAGCCAACAATTTGTACGATTTGTGCGTCATCATTTTTTTGGTTTGTTCCCCGTTTTAAATACTATGCTTGATTTTGGATTCAAACCTGTTAACAGTGATGTATTTATAGAGTGTTGAATGATGCGTTTCCTACCTCGAAATGTTGGTAACGTCATAGTTGGTGAAACTAAGGCCTGACGCCATTTCAACATGGCCGCTTCCGCCACTGAACAGGCCACCGAATCCGTTTTCCACCAGCTGTGACGTCATTAATAAAACCTGCTTAAAGTGGCGGGTCCTGCTGCTTTGGTTTCTTGCTAAGCGCGGGAATCTCTTAGAATAATCGAAAGTGAATATGGACACATTTGGTGCAAAATTATGAAGAAAACACTAAAATCAAATGACCAGTTATTCAAACGGAGTTTAGCTAGTGTTTTCAAAACCGCTTTCTGAGCCGTTTTCACTTTGCCCAACTCTTTTATCTTAACACCATTTATCGTGAACAGTTTCATGATAACACATGGCGTAGACTAGTAAAGTATTTATCTTCTTAAAAAAAACCCATTGGGGAAGATAGCTGGAGGTCCAAAGATTTGTTAAACTGCTGCCTAAGTTAGACTTCGTTTAAATAATCGACCCAAAGGTTCGCATTTAGCAAAGAAAGGATAAAAATATCTTTGAACTATGCGCTGCTTAACGCATGTCTCTAAAGATTTGCACCACAAAATTTTTTTTCTAACCAAAGGCGACGGTAACTTGGGGCTGTAAGTATTTCAGAGTAGTTTTTTAACAGTCTGCGGATTACAAGTATTTCCATCAGAAAAGAAACGGAGATCTATACCAAAAAAGTCGATATTTTTATGTCGGTTTCAAACTAGCTCAAAAGGAAGAGAAAATTCTCTAGTAAGCCACGGGAAATAAACAGTCTGAAGTTCGATGGCATGTACATAACGTCACTAGCTGTATCCGTGGCAACGTTGCAGCTTCTTACACGAGGGAGTCAATCTCAAGTGGAAGATGCTTGTGGTATTAAGTTGAAAATCTACCGGGGTGTTTCCCTTTGGATTATGGAAATTTTGTCAAATGGGACAACAGAATATGTCTTGAGTAAGTAGAACTTTTGTATTTTGTGTTAATTCAAATGGGAACGGAATTGATGAGTAAAAACCATACACGCATGGTATTGGTAACATACGCTATGTCAAAGTGTTTGTCGTAAAGGCGGTGCATTGGAAGAAAATCTCTTAAGGCTTTGCTTCTTTGACTGCTAATATTAACTTTTTTATGTGTGTCAGTTAAATGCTCATTTACTTCAGAAATCTGACACTTTTTAGTGATAAAAAATGATATTCAGCATCAAAGCATAAAATGTATCTCAGAGGGCCGATTATGCTGCCTGTCAGTAAAGCCATCTTTTTATTTTCCTTTCTCTTTTACGTTTCGATGCTGATATAAGCACCTTGTACATCCAGAACTAAAATAGAGCAACTATTTATTTCCAAAGTGCATTTTGTACATGCCAAGCTGCCTAAAATATCGTATACTTTCTCTTCTATCAGACACTGAGATGTGTACGCCCTGTACCTTAGGGGTAAAATTTCTTTACCGAGGGTGTGCACTCACAGGTTTCGATTCCACTTGAGACCAAGGAGTTCACTCTAACGTTAAGCTGAAAGAACAGGCGCAAAACAAATCAATTAATGGTGATTTTCAAACAAGCGTTTCTGTCCAAGTTTGAAATATAAAAGATGCAATAAAAACTGATCGAATAAATACAGTTTTGTCTGCCATTCTTTCGTGACGTCCTTATAAAACGACTGGTGGAATGACAGGTGGCAATTACAGAAGTTACTTCTTTGAAGAATAATCGTGTCGAGTTGCCTTTTGCCTTCAAAGGAAAGGGGCTCGAATTCTTCAATCCTTTTTGAAATGAATGAAATTAAACTACAAAACGACTGCACAACTGGACACAAACTTTGCTCCAGATTTAAAAGTTTATTTTATCACGAAGTTAATTGGCGATGACCAAATTTACCCTCACAAAGAGATGTGAAAGTTTATACATTACGAGCGCTGGTTAGCTCTTTGCCAGAACGGATTCTTTTAAGAATCACTAGAGCTTTGTAGTACTTTTTTTCGCCGAAACGCATACAGTCAGCTTAGTCCTAAAAAGAGGACACTCGTAAGGCGGGCATCCAGACATCTTATGCTTAGAGGGTTTTTTAGCTTCTTTCTAAGGTGCGGTAGCATTCATAATTCACTCGACGCGAGTTGCATTTAATTGTCTCTGACTGTACCGTTCACAAAGTAGGCATGCATCTTTCCAAGGACAGCCAGGTTATGGCTAGAGGTTTTCATGGTTTTCCGGTAAATATTTAAATATTTAATTAATAAGAAAGAAACAGGTTAAAGTTCTTGACAGCAATAACTGATTTCTTTCAGATTTGGCAGACCAAACGCCTAGGGAAGCTGACGTTACGACTCAAGAAGAATCTACAAACATTACACCATTTCTTCTTGCCTCCATCGGCGCCCTGCTAATGCTCATGTTTGGTGGGGTGTTATTTTCAAGCGGAGCGCCGCTGTGCAAAACAAAAACATTTTCAGATAGCAAGTATAAAAGAAAGTTTGAACAGCAATATGGTCGTCGGAAAATACGCTTTCACAACGTACCAGAAAAGATTGCTCTAGAGCCGTGTCCAGTTTTACAACAAGAGAACAATGACATTGTCGATGCTGTAAAGAAGGAGTATCAAGATCTACCGCAGTACCAACCAGTCAGCAGTGTAGTAAGCAACATCGTAGGACTGCATGGGCAAACTTGCGCAGTGAGCTTTCCTAAACCTGAGGTAATAGAAAGAGGAGCTAGTCCGATTCATGTCACTGGGAACGAGGGCACCTTAGATTGTGAACGGCCTTTCAGAAGAGATAAAAGAACCTTTATTAGGTTAGAACATGATGACAAACCAAAATGCAAAATACTCTCTGCTACGCTTCATGATAAATCTTCTATTATGAAAGACAACAGGCAGAGAGTACCGTCGGCGTCTAGCGGAATTGGTACAAATTCTCAAGAAACTTTTGAAATTGACAGTTTAGAAGACTTTCCTTTGAGTGAAAACGGTTTAAAACTCCTCGATGAGACTGTAATACTTGATTCAATTGATGAGGAGTTTCCTTCTGACAGCACACCCAAGACGATTATACCAAATATCGACCATGGGGTGTACAGTGGGGGGCGTTTAAGTGTTCTGCAGCTTGAGCGTGCGCCTAGTTGCCTGTGCGTGAAGGGCTGTAACTGCACAATTCATGGGACATGTGCTGTTAAATCAGAAGCGCTCCAGGGCAGCAAAGGAATGACTGATGAGCTACTCACTTGGGGTGATATTGCTCTTAGTATAAACAGCACTACAGCACCAGGGAGTCAACGCTATAGGGACCTGAGCGTATGCGCGGACACTCTAAAACCTCAAACGCCACCAGCGGATGTGTCTTGGAAAATAACAACAGGAAATGCCGCAGAGAGAAGTCCATTACGGCGCGCAGATTTGGAAAAATGGTTGCATGATGTTGAGGATTCTAGAAGAGAGGGCGATCAATCTTGTACTCAAACATTATTTGAGTCCCTTGATGCAGAAACCGAAATACAACGTAAAGATTTTTCCTACCCAGAGACGACCAAACCAATTTCTGGGCAGAGGAAGATGAGTGCGCCATTGCAAGAAAGTTTAAAACTTTTGAAAAGATTGCAAGTTATTTGTGAGGAGGATTTGCAACTTGCGCAAACTGAATCTTTAGTTCATCGTGGTGGCCGAGAGAGTTGCTTAAAAACCGTGCGCGCACCAAGTTCTTTGTGCGTTTGCGGAGGGAGTTGCAAAGTGCGTTGCCAAGTTGAGGTAACTGCTGACCAGTCGTCAGCGCCATCTATTCTGTTTGGGGATGATACAATCCATGAGGATACTTCCAATATTCTGAACACTGAACAGGAGTTGGCTTCAACAAGAACAGACCGGATCGCCAAAGGTGGTACAGAGAATAATTTCAAATGCATTCGTGCATCTAGTGAAATGTGTATTCATGGTCCTTCCTGCCAATTTCACTGTCAGAAAATGAAGGAAGAGGCGGAAAATACGAGAAAAAGAGAAATGATGGGGCGCAAACATCAAGAACTCGGTTGTCACAACACAAATTCAGAAACAGATGAGTTTCGAGGGGCCAGCTCTTTTGGTAACGAACAATATTCATACAAATATAAAATAATGCTACAACAAGGTAGTGAACCGAGTGCTTTTAGTGATAACAGCTTTCTTAGGGAGGAATGTAGAGTCAGCAATATTCGTGGAGCCAGCTCGTTTGGAGTGTCAGGCATGACAATTATCGAACATGAATTCCCTGGTGATGAAAATGTAAGAGGCGCAAGTAGTTTTGCATTAAAACCAGCGAACGACAGCGAAATGAAGTTGGACGAGTTGAGGGGCGCGAGCTCCTTTGCGCCGCTGGATGAAAGTATCGCAGGTACATCAAGCGTCACGTTGAGCCTCGCAGTTGAATCTGAAGGAGAAAGTTTTGTTCCTGATAAATCCCTCAATAATAGCAAAGGAGACTCGACTTTTAATTCACGAGCGTGCGTCGATAAACTAGGGGATACGACACGAGTTTCCAAAAAAGCGAAACAGGGCTTTCAAACTAAGTCATCGAGGTCGACGGAAAGTTGTGAAGAGGAGTGCCTTCTTGATCGTAATAACAATAATCGTGTTAAATACCTTTCCGAGAAGGAACCCAGAGGTGGAAAGACAGAACGCAGAGAATTAGACGACAGGGGAGTAATTACTCGAAATAAAAAGAAAGACGAACAAAGGAAAACATCACATAAACCTACTTTAAAAGTTGGAAAAGACTTGACTATGATGAGCACATTGTTACATGCGCTTCAGAAAAGCGGAGAACGAAGGAAAATAGAAACCTCCAATCCCGATCGCAGAGCTAGCCATCGTGTAACAAATTTCAACGCGGGTTCAGCTGGGAATATTAAATTTGCAGTTTTCTACAAAGGGGCTAATTCTTCCACGCCTTTGCTTTATGTCAGCGTGCTGGGTCTCCAAGAAGTGCCAGATACAATAATTACTGATCAACACAGAGCTTACGTAAGGTTTTGCTTATTCCCTAAGTTCACAACATGGAGAAGAACTAAAACCCATAATGTATCCGGAAAGGTACTGATTATAAAAGACCATTTCATAATATCTGATGTAAAACCATCTGATCTGGAAAAAGCGATTCTTCGATTCGAAGTTGTGTGTGTTAAAAAAGAAGAGAGAGTTATTGGTCAGGTGGAAATCCCTCTTGCAGAGCTTACGTCACGTGACAAGCTAAAACGGACCGCCGCACTTCAGTCACCTAACGCCTAAAGTGACGGTATTGTAGGGAGATCACACCGTTCCCATTAGAGCCCGTGCAGCCTCGATCTCATGATTTTTTCGGAGGGAGGTCATCAAACATCCTTCTGATAGTAGCCTGTGCCAGGATCCTTGATAGAAGAGAAAGAGCATTGAGAAACGGGGAAGAGGAGCCTGCAAGCATTGTTTTCAGCATTGTTTTTGTATGCCTCAAAATTGGTCAACTTTGACCGTTTACGTTTACACCTTCGCGCCCGCGCAGAGTCAAACAAACATAGAGAGCGAGTGAAACCCTACTACACCGCACGTTTTAACAGGGTCTCCCATTCTCTCTACTTGCCATTTTCACTGCTTGCCCGTTTATTTCGCAGTCGTCTGCACTGACCAAGAGCCTGGTACAGTCTATACTGATAGTAATCAAGTAAAGTTTATAGTGATCTTTAAGATAGCCAATGGAGATTTAAGGACAGTGCATCCCGTAGCAAAGGATATCTGCGCTGTCCTCTGCTAAGCAGGAAAAGCAGATATATAGGCTTTTGAACTTAACAGGAAAAAGACTAAAACTAGCAGAGATACTTAACAATGATTGAAAATACCTCACAAGCATTAATAGTAAATTGCCTTTCGGACCCTTAATTTCCGCATATACACTTGAAGCATGCGCTGTAACAAAAGGATTAATCATCGATGACGTCACCTAGCTTTATGTCACACGCTCGAAAATATTGCATCCTTTCAAAAAGACGGATGATACCCTGAATACGATATTGCCTTACGTCAAGTTTGACTGGAGATTAAACAGTGAAAAGCATAACGTCTACTGAGTTTGACTACATAAGAATACTTGAACAACTATACTAAGGGATTCTTTCTCTAACTATAACCTTTTCAAATTTTGTATGCACTTCAACATCTCCGGCAGTAAAATGACCTGCTGCAATAGTCGCTGTAAAATTACTGTAAAACAACTTATTTATTTTTTAAATAAACTGTATTTCGTCTGTTTAGCCCCCCACCGGGAATGATTTGTTTTAATTGCTTCCAGACCTAAGGGTACCGTATTTCCTCGAATTAGCACCCACGCTCTAATAATTGCGTCCTCCCCCGAATAAGCGCCCACCCGCTAGGCCATGATATCAAAAAAGCGCCCCTCTCGAATAAGCGCCGCCCTCCTCTCAACATCACTTTCATACCGTGGTAGGGATACGAGAAGATGCGACGATCGGATTATCACCGACGAGGATGATATCGGGCACAATGACATAATCCGCAATATTTTATAAACGTGCTTACTGATGATACATTAGAATGGAGCCAACTACGCGGCTTTTTTACGCTTGACCACCAACAACTGTTGAAAGACGTTTAGATATTGACTTAACGTTTACATGAATAATGTTGTCCTTTTTGTTTTCCTATTAAGAACTTAGCCAAATAATATTAAAGTTCTTTCAGAAAGGAGAAACTAACTAAGCGCCCTCCAGTTCCAATAAGCGCCCCTGCTTTTAGCTGAAGGACGTAATAAGCGCCCAGAGTGGCACTTATCAGAGGAAATATTGTATTAGAGGTCGAGGGAGTCATCACGATTCCGATTAGAGATGGGAACCGGCTAAATAATTTTCTAAGTAAGTTTCAATTTTTGGGTGAGAAAGGAAGGCTAAGCAGAGGCTTGGGGATAATGTAATTTTGGTGCCTAGTACGTAGCATTAAGAAGGATTTTATTAGAGGATGGGGGCTAAAAAGAGGAAACATTGTAATCTTCCTGCGCTTCCTTAGTGAACCGTATGCAAACGGACTGCAGACAAAGCATGGCAATCTTTATTTCGGCGTTTGAAAAAATATATCACAGGGAATCAGGAAGAAATGTGATTTTAAGAATCTGGCCTTGAAGGGAGTTTAACTTTATCTATACATCAGTACATCACAAGTTTTGATGAAAGGTAACTTTTTTTCTAAATGATGATTAAAGACGATCATGTCAGGTTTTTTTTGAAACTTTTCATGATATCAATGATATTGATAAGTAATTGTGTGACGTCAAGACAACCAAATTGACCTATCTTTAACAATTATTGACGTAAATAGAACAAAACAGATATGTTTTTTATAAAAATGATCCAGCCACCGTTTTATCTTTAAAGTCCCTCCAATACAAGTCCTAAAATGTCCTGGAAATTAATAAGATGGCTTGAAAAACAATCAAAAACAGAAGTAATGAAAATGAATGATCTTCATGAATTGTTTGAGAGTTTTCACTTATTGAATAAGCAATTTTTCACAGTGGAACCTCGATATAACGAAGCTCTTACGAAGCCCCCTATATAACGAACGATGTTCTTTACCCCAGTAATAAGTAAAATAGTAAAATATATTAAGAACCTCGTGAAAGCGAGTAAAAATTTGCCAGAGTCTAGGCCTTTGGTTATTTCTAGGTCCACTGTACTTTGTTTTTGCTTTTTAGAAAGCAAACTGGAGAGTGACATTGGGGTCGTCATAAAGCCTCTTGTTCACCCTTACTAATAATTCAACTTTTTAGCCAAACGAATATTAGCATTACAACAGACTCTATTTACATTCTTGAAAAAGAATGCCCTCATTTAGCAAAATGAAATTAAACACAAAAGAACAAAACTAACAAGCGAGTGACAACAACTTATAGAAGTTTAATTTCTGTTTGTTCTTCAGGAATCCTTTACGAAATTTTGTGCATCTGTTTGATATTTGAAAAATTTCACCTGCTAAATCACATGGCCACTCGTCATTCATGATCAACTCATCAAGAGGAACTTTTTGTCATCTTAAAGAATACCCAATCTACGTAAACAATGGATGACATAACCGATAAACCGCCTATTATCTGGTTCTAAACACCAACAGTATATTGATAAAACGCAAATTAAGCTTTGTGCGTTGGAGTTTGTTGAACAAAGTTTTACATATCATATAAGCTGGAAAAATTAATGTACTTCTGAAGGATAAATTTCGTCTAAATCTTGTCTATTTACTTAACTATATTGCATCAACCCTTTTTTACCCGCATTCCCTTGTCGCCTTGCCGGCTTACCCTAGCTATTGTACTATGAATGGCAATCAGTGACATAACCAGATAATCTCTTATATTATCTATTTCACACTTTGAAAAGTCTTTTTATCAAAAAGGCATGGAACGTTGGCTGATTGCTTTACAGTTGGGAGAGTCTCTATTTCTCCTTTTCCTTAATGTACGGAAAAAGACAAATAGATTACAAGGCAGGCAGATAAAGCATTTCTATTAGATGAAAGGTTAACCCCTGAAAGTGAGCGATAGTCGAGTGTTGTTTACAGTGATCAAATGTTCGAGACCTTCATTAAAAATTTATGTTTGGGAGAATTAAGTAATGACCAGCGGAGAGTCAAATTGAAAATAGAAAAATATAATTTGGCACCGATAAATCAGTGTGTTGCTTTAAGAAAAAGGACTTAAGTATTTGCCTTTGTTTTCAGCTGAGGGCTTCTTATTCTCAGGTGACGTAAAGGGTTCCTGAGCGGGGTTTTATTTAGAATCACAACAACATTGTGGTCACGCACGAGTGGATATATGTCAGATACAATGAAATCATGATTACTTTCATTTAAATTCAAAACTACTCGACCCCGCGAAACATTGAGGTTGTTGAGTTGTCGACACGTTGCCGGTCAAGTTCCCTTCCGGTGCTGAAAAATTTTCCTTGTTATCGGACAACCGTTAAAAACGACCAAACCGCCAAAAAAGAAAGGAAAATGACTTGAGAACGAATGAAAAATGACGGTAAGTTTTCATTCGAAGAGGGCCTTTAAACTGATCATTTTGTGCCTTTAAGATAAATTTGAACTTATTTTTCTGCATTCGTAATTTGTTTCAGGACTCGAGTGTTCTTGGCGTTGTTCTTGGTTCAGTTCTCGGATTTCTGGCGGGAGGGATAGTGGTTGGTGTGGCATATCTTTGCTACACAAGACGCTCGAAGTCGTATAATACGCATTCACAAAGCGATGAGCGCCCGATGATCGATCATTACTACACGACAAGCCCTGAAGGATATATGATATCGCAAACTCGCCCAGTTCAGGTGCAGCCTAACGTCTACACACTGGCAAAGTCCTCTACTGAATCATATCCAGAAATTACTGAACTTGTCAATGGGGAACAGCAGCGCATTCGAGTAACGGAGCCATATGAAATTGGGGCGATTACCACAATACAAGAATATGGCGAGGAGGGGGAAGACGGAGCGGCAAGCCCTGGCAGTGGTACCAGTGATCTCGTCTCCAAGGGAAAACCCAAACTGAGCAAGAGGATGAGCCTGCCTACTAGTTTGAAATCGGACGGACTAGTCCATCCAAGTGCGGAAGATTTTTTCAGAAAGAAAGAGGAAGAGGAATGCCGTCTTGAGTTTTCGTGTTTCTACGACACGGCAAGTCGCGAATTGCACATCACTGTGATACAAGTTGCTGGAATTTCTACTCCGGATGAGAGTTTTCTTCGCCCGCCAAATTGCAGCGTGAAAATGCGAATTCTGCCGGAAATGTTATCGTGGCAGTGGACAAGGAAAATATCTCGCACAAATAATCCTGCTTTCAACGAGACTTTTATTGTGCCTGGTTTTGTTCATAACAAGCTTCGAGAATGCACAGTTCATTTTGTGGTCCTCGATTTTGATCATGTCCAAGATAACGTCTACGTGATCGGAGAAGTCTTTATGCCTCTGTCAGAATTGCGAGCGAACAGGCTCGAAAAAATAATTAAAAGAGTAAACCCGTTATCCTTTTAAAAATAATTTCTCGACATTTATTTTCACAAATTCTTGGCGTGAGTACATAGGAACAAATTTCAGTTCGTGACAAGCAATATGCAAAATAATTCTCCTCAAAGCAAACAGGAAAAAATTCCTTTAAACTAGGCTCGTCATTGCGTATCATAGTACTCGTTGGTCAAGTGAAATACAGTAGCATTCTGGTACTTACTATGAAAAGAAAGAAATTTAATCACTAACAATGTAAAAAAACAGAAAAGAAATACAATTTTGGATCGAATTTCTGTGTATATTTTTCAATATCCATTATCTCTATCCGTCTAAAAAGTATGTGATGATATGTAAATATCATTTTCCCCTTCGGATTGGTAAACCAACCAAATCCTTCGCGTGTAATTCTTTTTCGCGATTTCATTTCTAACCTGTGTATAAATGAAAAAAGACGTAGGTTGTGGCTGATTTTGTTAGATAACTTTTTTTCCAGCATTTGGTTATGTGGCAAATTTGCCAAAATTATAGCTCTAAATTACATGTATATTATGACGGACCATCACGGATCGTAATCATGAAGGGCTTATATTTCATTATGAACAGCAAATAAAGGTTTGTTGTTCAAGAATCGTACCGTGATTATATGAAATTTTAATCTCGTGTGAATTTGCCCCTTTCGACTGTCTAGATTAAGGTTATGGTTATTCTATCATAATAATATGTGGGTTGGGAATCAGTCAGGCATAATCGTTAAAAAATGATTGATTGGAATTTTCCAAACAACGTATAAATAAAGATAAGTTTTAATTTGGCCCATCATTTTCTTTTTCCTCTTTTTATTCTTTTTTTTCTCCGCATATTTGTGCTCGCTTTTTAGTTTGCGGCGAAAGCCAGGGCAAGAAAGGAGTCGAAAGAAATAGAAAAGAAACGAAACTGGAAAAGAAGAAGAGAAAGTGGAAAGAGAGAAAAGGTTGTAGGTGTTAAGTAAAAATATTCGAAAGCCATTCCCTCCTTTACCTCGATCGAGAAAAAACAACTTGCGATTTGCCAATTGGCAACAACGCGGGGCTGGCGCTCCATCGATCACTAGCTCAATCTCTGTCTAAGGTAACCACTTGTTTATCATGCAAGTTCATAAAGCCTACTTTTGGGGTGTAAAAGAAAGTCCATATTTGCAGGTTTCTGTCGGCGGACATTTCAAAACTTGAAAGTTATGAATGAGCGGACACCCTTGACGCAACGTTGTTGACCAACAACTCCCAACATTGTTGGGCCAACAATGTTGGAAATTATTTGAAAGAAGCGAGTCATCGCAGTTATAGACGCAACTTTTGCAGTTGCGAAATGAAAGCCTGAAAGAAATTCAGATTTGTATCATAATGGGATTCGAACCCTCGACCTCTGCGATACCGGTGCAGCGCTCTACCAATTGTGCCAACAAGAGCTAACAAGCCAACTGGGGGCAGGTCGTTGAATTGGTTTGTTATAAACCCGTGAAAGGATGATGATGAAGTTGCGTCCGTTTGTCCGTTTGTTTGCACTTAGCTTTACACGGGAGTGAGAAAACAGAGTTTGTACATGTATGGGAGACAGGGGTTGAGAAAAAGGGGGTTTTGTGAAGGCCGTACGAAAGTAGAGCTGTCCTCTTGCTAGAGTGTGCGGTAGAAGAGTTTCCACTGCATTATACGTTGTGACCTTGTTTAGAAAATTACGAGAGAAAAAGGAACATGATTTTGAATATCGCTTTTGATACTCGAGCCTTTTTTTAGATACCGAGTCCGCTGATAAAATAGTTTAAAATAGATTAAACAAACCACTCACCCTGGGATATCCGTCTGCTTCAGTGATACTCGCGCTTTTTTTAGATACCGAGTAGGCAGATATAAATAATGGGATGTTGTAAACATAGAATTTTATGAAACGGTAACCTGCATGTAATCAGAAAGCGGCGGCGTCTCTTTTTTTCTTTCCTTTGAGTAGAGGGGAAAAAACAGAGTGCTTTAGATCATTAGGGACCGACCATTTAACTCTTGAGGGGGAGGGGGTGGGTGATTTTGAAACAAATTTCCTGCAAGCTCTTGTCATAAGGAAAAAATTGCATGCAGCACAAATATAATAGAAAGCCTATGGGAAAAAAGGGAAAAAATATCCTGCCCACCAGATTGCTAGAAAAAAAAATTCTTGATGGCCAGAAATCAACCACCCTCCCCCCCCCCCCTCAAGAGTTAAATGGTCGGCCCCTTGGAGGCCTTTAGATTCGAGGGCGAGGACGACTACAAGGACGCGATTTGACTCAAATATTATTAAAAATTAGACACTTGTATAAAAAGTTTTATTTTAATATCTTTTTCACCAGAAACAATAAGACAGTTATTTTTTACTGAAGGAGGATAATGTCTCTCCCGATGGCAAAATGATAGACCTTCTCAGTAACATTTGATAGCTTGTTTCCGTCACTAAGACATTTCGCTAAGACCCGTAATAGAATGACGACGGCTATCACGTTCTCCCGCCAAAATGACGCTGATTCAAGCGCGCAAAAAATTTTCACCCTCGAAGTGGTCCTCGTCTCGGAATCTAAAGGTCTCTATTTTCTCCTGAGGGACCGACGAGCGCTCGTAGAAAAAGAAATGAAAACAACGTCTGTGTCCAGGCTAAAGTATTACTGAGTTGAATGAATTGTCGATTTTAAGGTGAAGGATCATAAACTGATATTGGAGTTTGCCCCCCCCCCCCCGGGGGAGGATGGGGCAATAATAAAGTTTTATACAGTGAGGCACAGCCCCGAGGTCCAGCCCCTAACCTTTTAATTTTATACAAGAGAATATAAAGTTAAACGTTTTTTGACAGAGAAGGTACCCTGATTCGTATAATTCCTTTCTACAAATTGAAACTCTTTCACAAGCCTGGTTTGGAACGCTTCATCCCTTTTGCATGGCTGTTTTGCACTGTCTTCCCCAATTAAATTTTGATATAATCGCTGAACCAGGAAGTTTTCTTGACTTTTTTTATAGCCATAAAATGCCGCTGATAGCCCAGTTTTGACTGAAATGACAGATTTCCCTACCCTTTCATATACTTCAATGGTGAAATCCGCCTACTCTTTCATATTCCTCCCCATATAGGCCATTATAGGGAGTGGATTCATTTCATTGAAAAAAAATCGATCGTTTTCACGATAAGGAAAACATATCTATACTATCTATACTCGGCTTGGCCTGCACTTGTTTCCGCATTGATCTGCCAAAATTTGAGACTCGATCATGGTGAACAGGCACGAAGTTGTTTTCACCGGAAAGTGAGAGGAATCAGTTGAAAGTTTACCGAAATGATTGCACTTTCCAAACTAAGGTTTCGCATGGTTACTGTGAGGCTTTCGAAAATTTTAGCTAGGTCGACCAAATTCGTGAAATTCAAGGAAAGAGGAAGCTGAAGTCTGCCGCGGTCAACATATCTTCCAGTGGACGAAGCTAGGAAAATACAGGCCTCTAGCTATGATCGTAAATGGGTACTAAATTAAAAAGACCTTTATGGAGGAGTGACAAAACGTGGCCTGCGAACGCGTGTACTCTGCATGTAAAAGCAATGCTTTCCTGGTCAAGTGCTGCAGATTGTCATTAGCGCGCTAACGAAGTTTGTGCCTGTTTCTGACACGTCACAATTCATACTTGATAATCAAGGAAAAACGTACAGGCACTCACTTGATGCAACAATCTACTAGTTTCGCACTGCTTTTACAAAGTGTCGGGAAGCCTAAGGCTCTGTTTTGCGTTCTAATATACAAAAAACTATAGAGGTCGGTATGCACAGCCCAGCACGAAGTTTTTTTTGGAGAGTGAGGAGTCTTTTATGTCAACAAATGGTATATGAATGTATATTTAGGATAAGGGGTTTGCCTCCCAGTATCTGTCTAGTACCCCCGGGAGAGATAGGTCACTTGCTAACTCCAATATCGGTTTATAATCCTATTTCCTAAAATCGACATTTCATACAACTAGTAATACTACTTACGACAGTTCAAGAACGGCTGCCTCGATCTTGCCGACCTCACTACACCAAATATTGAGCAATTGCCAAGTTTAGGCGTAAAATGATAGAACAACCACGCAAATATAAGAGAAAGCACGCAAATACAATAAACACGTAAATGAAAAAAGAAACAATTCAAATAAAATATCAAAGACGCAAATTGAAAAAAACCACGCAAATAAAAGAGAAGCCATGGAACTCAAATAAAAAAGAAAACACTCAACTAAAAAGGAAACTGTTTTTCTTTGCGTTTTCTTTTTTTATTTGCATGTTTTCTCTTTTTTGGGGTGGTTTCTTTTTTATTTGCGTGGTATTTTTTTGTTTGCGTGGTTTCTTTTTTATTCATCTGGTTTCTTTTAAAAATCCCATTTACACGCGCTAAACAAATCGGCACGGCACGCCAAATTTAGTAGCTCTAAATTAGGGGTGCCGAGACTACCTCCGGGAGGTAGTCTCGGCACCCCTAAAATCGTCAGCACGATGCCAAAAATTTGGCGTGCCGATTTTTTTAGCGCGTTTAAATGGGGTTTTAGAGTCGGGCCCAGTAGCGTATAGTGTGTCCCATCAAAGAGGCGGAAGAAACCTTTAATTAGTAAGATACTGAATGTAGAACTAGCTGATTGCGTGAAGAGTGTTATATTCAAGCTTGAATAGAAAAAGAATAAAAAACAAACAAACAAACAATCAAATCAGCAAATAAACCAACCAACAAAATTACCCGGCTGAGAGACTTTTTCGTGACTCGAGCCCCGGGGTCAATCTAATTGTTAACGTTAGAATGAATTAAGAAAAAAGAAGGACGTCGGCCCATGATAGCGAAAAGCAAGTATATTTAATTATTTTGCGGTGAACTTCGCCTTGGGCCTGTCTCAAAAGGGAGCCTTAATTGGATATTATATCTCTTGACTCATCGCCGTAAAAAACATTCAGAGAGTGCTTCAAAATTGCGCAAAGACTTCTTCTTGCTGCAAAAAAGTAAAACCTTTATAACCGAAGGC